AGTCATTTGCTCGAAGTTTGAGCTTGACTACACCAGTTTTCTTGCAGCTGTTACAGTGTAAACATGGCCGCTACGCTAGCAGTGTACACCAAGGAGGAACAAAAAGCAGTAAACCGGTCGGAAGATGTGTCAGGGACTTAAAATACATCGGAGGCTTTTAACACAATACGGCGACAGTGCACTACCGCGTATCAAGTGCGTGTGAGTAGATCGAGAAGTTTAAAAGTGGCCGAACAAGCGTGACACGCGAAGGAGCAGAAAGCCTGTCAACCTTCACCACTAACGAGAAGAATCAGCAAACTCCAGATATTCTAATGCCGAACCGGCAAGTTATTATCGATGAGGGTAGCATCTCCTCTGCAGATTCGGATCACGACTCTTTGTTCCTTGTTAGCGGATCGGCCATGTTTACACTGTAAGGGCATCAAGAAAACTGGTGCAATCAAGCTCAAACTTTGATCACAGGACTACAATAATATCAAACTATAAGCAGGCATGAGTAGAAGGCAGTGTAAGGAACCTAAACATATTTTATGGCGAAACTTCGGATCATTTTAGACTTACCGTCGTGTAATTATGTGTCGACGTAATCTAAGATTTTTATCTTTACAATTAACTCTATTGTCGCATGTAAAAAAAAAGAATTCTACTTATAAGCAGAACTAAAACATCCAAAGAAAACGAACAAAATGAAACAAAATATATATTTATTTGTACTCTAAAATCCCCTACTTAATCTAATTATTTCATTACTAAGATAGGGTGAGACAATTGTGTTGCCGATAAATATAAAACATCATGTAGAGTTTTATACTGCGGAATATAAAATTTTCTCATATATATATATATATATTAAGTTGGCCATAAATTCCTGATTCTTTTAGAAAAACCTAGGAAATTTGACAACATATTTTTTCACTCACCTGTAAAGCGAGTAAAGCCACTAGGACGTAAGTGGTTACTGAGTGCGAAATGATAAGAAACAAAAGAGAGAAACATTAGAAAAAGAGCGAGAACAATAGAAGAGTAATCAGGAGGACAATAGATAGCGATTGACATTGCATTTAAACTTTTGAAGATCGAATTCGGCTGAAAAGCATGGAGCCGGAAAGGGGTCCACAAGCGAGAAGCGCGAGAAAAGAAACTGTTAGTATAGAACTAACGGCCATATCTAGCCACTTTAACTGTAAAATATTGAGACCTTTCCGCCAATCTAGTACTGCGCTTAAATTCATGAAGTCTAGATACTATAGCGAAAATTATAGAAAAGGCACAATGACTGAAGCCGAAACGCTAGTTCTGGAGTGAAATTTTCACTTACCAAATTTTTAGTTCATAATTATAGATAACAAAATTTCAGTTTATTATTATAGATATTTTTTTTTTAATTTATAATTTAAATGATAATTATATTATAATTATAGTTATTAGGTTGTCCAGAAAGTTCTGACTCACTTAGGAAACAGAAAAACAAACAAAATTTTATGGAGCAACCCAACATTTATTCTTCAAAATAAAGTCCATTATTCTCGACGATCTTCTGCTAGCGATCAGCCAGCATCCAAATCTGTCCCAGATACCAACTCGCTGGCTTTGAATAAAAAAAAAAATCTGTAAACAAGTTTCCTTTATTTCATCAAAAACGTTGAATCACTGGTCGCGGAGGAAGTATGCCATTGAGCAGATTAGGCCATAGTCACTTGAAGCAGCATCGGGACTGAACGGTGGATGTGGAAGATTCTCAACACTCTCCATCTGTTTGAACTTCTCTTTTGTCAACCTGGTAGTGTGTGGACCCGAATTGTCTTGCTGAAACAAAGCCCAACCTCGATTGACTAAAGCAGGATACTCCTTTAGTTAGTTATACACGCGTTCTAGCTGCTTGAAATACAGTTTATCGTTGATGGCGCGACCGCGTGGAACAAGCTCAGAATGCAGTGCTCTTTGGAAATTCCACCAGACAGAGATCAAGATTTATTGTTTTCTTTCCGCTTCTTAAGTGAGTCGGGACTTTCTTGCCAACCTAGTATTTCTCGAGCGGTCTCCCATTGAAGTTTAATTAGTTGAGTAGGTATCCAATTGTGCAAGGGGATTAAAGCCCCAATGAGGCCTGACCGTGTTCGATTTATGGGTATAGAAGCAGGGAAAAACGCTTAATTAGAGTAAAATGCAGAAAAGGAACTAATTAAGAAAGTTAATTAGTATCGAGAATTAAGATGTCTTGAAGGTTTCTTGAAGAATCGAACACGAATATTAACTTACAACTAACTTAGTAACTTAGTATAACTTAGTACAGCCCTTTAAACACAAGCCACTATCTATCTATCTATCTATCTCAGTATGTTCACAACACATCTATCTATCTATCTATCTATTTATTTATCTATCTATCTATCTATCTATCTATCTATCTATCTCAGTATATTTCACAACACATCTATCTATCTATCTATCTATCTATCTATCTATGTGGGAATGTCTTGCACGCCCGTTGTGGACACTTGAATAGTATGTAAGCCACTGCAGGAATGGTTCATTTTTATCACATTGGTTACAGGAGGAAGTCAGGCAGCCAACAGAAGCTCCGGCCTCATAGAGCTTCCACTTTTCTTCTTCTGCCAAAGCAGACAGAATAAATTGTTGGCCGAAATAAAATAAAAAATATATCTAAAAGACCTTAAGACTAATTTGTTTATACAAAGATCTATCCATTGAGTCTTTCTAGGCAAAATAATTTCGGAGAAAAATTCTTTCCAAAAATACTCGACCAAAACTAACCAATGGGCTGGATTGTTCGTTTATTCGCTAGTTGTCTTTCAGAAAAAATAAATAGATTTCAGAAAGTAGGTTATCAAAGCACGGTTATGTGGCTACTGTCTATATATTATCCAAAACAAAAAAAACCCTTAGAGAACATACATTAATATTTAAACCATTGGCCACAAACTGACAGGCTAAATTACATATATAGTTGATAGCCAGACAATAGACACGTGGAAGATGAGAGATAGACAGATAAATGACAGATCATAGGAGTAATCTTAAGATCACCAAAATTACCCATAACATTTGAAAAGAGGACGAATGAACTAACAACATTCTTTCATCATCATACTTGTGAATGAGCCAAAGGAAACTTTTCTGATGTAGATTCAATGAAAAAAAAACAGAAGCAACCGACAAAACGACACAAACCCCCCCGGCAAATTTACAGGATTAAGCCGCCAAAGACATTTAAAAAGCGAAGAAGAGAAGTGGAGGCTCTATAATTTCGGCAGGGTTAGTTGACTGCCTGACCTTCTCCGGTAGCTGATGTGATAAAACATGCCATTTCTGTATTGAAGCACTTACCTTTCAAGTGCTTAATAAAGGGCGTTCAAGACAGAGCCAGGTAGATAGATAGATGAATATGAATAGACTGAGATAGATAGATAGATAGATAGATAGATAGATAGATAGATAGATAGATGAATATGAATAGACTGAGATAGATAGATAGATAGATAGATAGATAGATAGATAGAGATAGATAGATAGATACGAACAGACTGAGATAGATAGATAGATAGATAGATAGATGAATAGATAGATGCAGAACAGACTGACATAGATAGATAGATAGATAGATAGATAGATGAATAGATAGATACGAACAGACTGAGATAGATAGATAGATAGATAGATAGATAGATGATAGATAGATACGAACAGACTGACATAGATAGATAGATAGATAGATAGATAGATAGATAGATAGAACAGTCTGAGATAGATAGATAGATAGATAGATAGATATGAACAGACTGAGATAGATAGATAGATAGATAGATAGATAGATAGATAGATAGATAGATAGATACTGATTGTTTCGTTTCCTAGGGCTTATCAACACATTGCAGGCGAGGTAATATTTTTTAGATTGCAAGAATTTGGGGGGGGGGAGTTACTAATGTTTTAATGATACAATTCTTACGTACAACTTTTATCATCCCCCCACATTAAATTTAAAACTTACTAGTTTATCCCCCACCCACCATAGCTCGGGGAGATAGAACTCAATTGGAACTCTGCTGTCCGATTAACAATTCGGGGCCATTATCCATTGCACCACCAACAAAACGACACGGAGACATAAGATCTCTCAGGCAAATTCACAGAATCAAGCCGCTAAAACAAGAAAACAATTGGAAGCTCTATAAGGCCGGAGCTTCTATTGGCTGACTGACCTTCTTCTGTAGCCGATGTGATAAAACATGCCAATCTTGCATTGTCGTACTTACTTTACTATTCAAGTGCCTACAACGGGCGTGCAAGACATAGCCAGATAGATAGATAGATAGATAGATAGATAGATAGATAGATAGATAGATAGATAGATTACTTTTCTGAGGCATTGTAAGAATTATTAATGGTTTAGTTGTTGAAGAGTAGAACTCAGCGTACTACTACTGTAACTATGTACTGCACCTACTTATAAATATGGCAGGTAGCCACATTAGAATAGGATTTGAGTAGTATTTGATTTGCTCAAGTATTTTCGTTCTATGTATGAGTACTTAATAAACCCCTTCTTTGTTTTCTTTTGCCCTAGTCTTCTGTTCCTTCAATCCTCCCTCTAACTACAGCCTTCCTAATTCTCTACTATTTTGAACAAGACAGCATGACAACAGGGCGACGAAGTCTTCAATTCCTACCAAATGGAAGATTTAAAGACAGCAAACATTCAGCACTTAAGACAACTACAAGAGCAACAACGATTGCAAGAGCAGCAAACAGAAATAATATCGTTTCTCGCACAAAAGATAAACGTGACAGGAAGGAATGTCTCATTTGCGCTAAGTCTTACTAATTAACCCATAGTTGGGGGAGAAGAGGTGGATTCATACCTTGCCAAATGGTATTCGCGCTTGAGTGAATGTAATGAACCCAACGGGAACTGGAACTCGGCTCTACAATGAAGAATTCGGAGCCAGTATACATTGGACAACCGCACACCCGAGCTTACAGAACCTGATATTCCCAATCGCTCATGCATCTGGGTACTGACCAGGCTCAACGTTGCTTAATTTCGGTGATCGTGCGGTAACCGGTGTTTCAAAGCTAGATCGATAGATACAGACTGAGCTTGATAAAGGTTAATGGACTGAGACAAAAGAAAACACTGAAATAGATAGATAGATAGATAGATAGATAGATAGATAGATAGATAGATGAATGATAGATAAATAGATCAAATGCATATTGAGATAGATAGAATAGATAGATAGATAGATAGAGGAGAGAGCAAATGCATATTGAGATAGATAGATAGATAGATAGATGAATAGATAGATCAAATGCATATTTAGATAGATCAAATGCATATTGAGATAGATAGATAGATATGATAGATAGATAGATAGATGAATAGATGAATGATCAAATGCATATTTAGATGATGAAATGCATATTGAGATAGATAGATGAATAGATAGATGAATAGATAGATGAATAGATAGATAGATCAAATGCATATTTAGATAAATAGATCAAATGTATATTGAGAGAGATAGATGAATAGATAGATAGATAGATAGATAGATAGAACCCGACTGAGATAGATAGAACCCGACTGAGATAGATAGATAGATAGATAGATAGATGAATGGATAGATAGATAGATAGATAGATGTGTATTATATGCTGAATAATGAGATGCTACAGTATCTCAAATATATCCATTATATTGCTGGCAGCTCCAGTGTCTGCTCTAAGAATACACACAATATATATATATATATACGTGTGTGTGTGTGTGTGTGTGCGTGCGTGCGTGTGTGTGCGTTCGTAAACTTACTTCATGCTGTAAAGAATCTGATTAATATACTTTTTGCAGACAAAATATTTAGAAAAGTCCAGATTCTGACCGTTACCTCTAAAATTGGATCGATGTAAGCCTGTTAACAAGATATGTCTATATTGGATAAATAAATAAGTTTTCTTTTACCTTACTTTATTTTTTATTTATTTTTTTTGTTTTACTTTTTTTTTCTCCAATAAAATGCTAGCCATCACCCTTTAATGAAATTTACTCTTTTATTAATACGAGCAGCAACTTGATGTAGTTATGCATATTTTTTTTTGTCAAATTAAATCAAATTTGCCAGACGACCTCATTCAAGAAGAAACTTTCCGCCAACTACCACGAGAAAATTCCACTAGAAATATCTCTGGACAGAACCAAATGCGAAAGTCGGCCTCGTCCGTGGGGTTTCCATTCAAGAACCAACACTTCAGCCATCAGCATGAGAAGGACCACCCCTCCCTGCTAGAAATTTACAGAGACCAAACCCACTTCGGTAGGCTGCCTCAAAGCTGAATGAACTTCCCCTGCGAAAAGAGTCAGTTAGAAATTAGTTAGGCGTTTCAAACCTTTTTTTTTTTCTAATAATTTCACCCCCAAGCAAGGCAATGAAGCCACTAAGACATTATTAAGATTAACTTTATAAGATACAACCTACAGGGTGCAATGGATAAATTGTCGTCTAAATGACGCAAAAAATGAAAATAACACTAACCTTTCATTTAAACAGATATATTTACCAAAATTACACAACAATATCTTGAAATACTAAGAGTAAATGTATTCAATAAAAATCGCCATTGGCTTTCAACTGCAGGTCTCAGATAACTTCGGAATCTCCTGCAACTCTTCTGTACGGTCTCCTTGTTTAAGTTGGTGAATGCTGCCAAAATATTTGCTTTCACTTCATTTTTGACGTTACAAGTTTTTTTTGTTGGTCTCTCACTCAACTGCGTCCCACACATATTAAGGGGTTGCAATCTGTGGGTTAGGGTGGCCAGATATAAGGGGTGAGGTGGTCGCAGAAATTGTCTCACAGCTATGACTGGGTTCTCCTGCTTGTGTGGCATGGTGCAGAATCCTGTTGCCAGACATAGAGTCTTCCAGCAGCCACCCTCTGGATGCAGGGCAGCTCTACTTCTTCAAGGCACTTGAAGGCCTTGATGTAGGCCTCCATGTTGAGTCTGAGGAACTCACCAACAAATTTGAGAGCTCTTTTCTTATCAGAACGATCAGAGTGGGTTTCATGAGCTGCCGTACCTTCGTAATCACCCATTAGACTCATACAACTCTTTTTCCAAATCCTTTGCACTTTCCTCAGATTGACACACAGCCACTCTGAAACGTTCGTATTGAGCTTCCGGTGCGAATGCCAAGCAGAACAGCATTCCGTTTCTAAATTTCTGGCTGGTGAATTGCCTCATGGTGCTTTTTTTCTCACTGACCCTATTATACTGTGCAGTCGACATAATAAAAAATAAACAACGCGCATGCGCGAAATTAAAAATATAAATGGTGACAAAACCGCCCATCTCATCCATTATAGGTTTGTCTACCAATGTTTACCTTTTAGGCGCAAGGGATTACTCAGTGTTAGATAACATTGGGAAAATATAAGATTAAAGAGAGAGGACAATAAAAGAACAAGAATTAGGAAGATAGTAGATGTGGATTGACATTGCATTTAAATTTTTGAAGATCAAAGTTGTCTGGGAAGCAAGAAGCCGGAAGAGAGTTCCACAAGCGAGAAGTGCGAGACGAAACTGTTAACATAAAATTTGCGCTAAAAATTACAAAACGGACTGAAGAAACCACCATTACTCGATACTGAAAATTAAGAATGTCACCCTTTGTACAATCACCAACATTTTCATCTTTATAAGTCTACCATGTCAAGGCAATTTAGCCCCTCACGCGTAAGTAAGGAAAAAAAATTAGAAGACTTTAGAAGGAACGATAAACCCAGTCCTGAATGCGAAATGAAGAATAAAACCTCTACTCCTGTTTAAAAAAACCTGGGTTGAGTGTGAAGCGGATGATAGGCGAATCATCTACCCCATTGAAGGAAAAAAACCAAAAAATAAATAAAATTTTAGAGTTTTATGGAAAAGTTAGAGGTACAGAGTTCAAATAGACTTTAGAATTAACCAAAACAATACTAAACCGGAAACAAGAGACAGACTTAAACACCTGTCCAAAAACCCAGAGGGAGTGTGAACCGGCCGATAGTGGAACCCATCTACCATTCGTCTGTATTGAATATTGGTGCCCACGTCTATATAGTTATATATATATATATATATATGGTATATATATATATATATATATATATATATATATATAGGTTATATATATATATATATATATATATATATATATATATATATATATATATATATATATATATATATATATATATAACCAAGTATAGGATTGATATATACGGATTAAATTCCAATAACCAACAAATACTATTCTTAAAAGAGTGCTCAATACAAAGTAGAGCAAATATAATTATTTATTCGAAAATTATAACATAAAAATGTTATAAAATCACTACAAAAATAGGCATTTGTTTCAACACTTCTGTTGTCTTATCAAGTGATGATGTTGAATGTAGAATAAAGAAGACACCAGAAGTGTTGAATTTTTTGCAGTGATTTTATAAGATATTTATGTTATAATTTTCGAAAATATATATATATAAGAATTATTGCCAAAATCCAAAATAGCATCTGCAACTTTATCGGTACTGACCAGGCATCTTGGCTTAGTATCTTTTCCGTCGCCGTCACGTAAATTCCCTGTTCCTTTTCTATAAATATTTCATGGTAATTGCTTTAGATGAGCTTTCCTGTTTTGTACATCGACTTCACGAATCAACGCGTAATCCTACATTGGCAGTAGTTTTTCATAATTTCACTTGTGTCATTGTGTTGATCAACATCAACTTCCCCAGCTGTTTGGGGTATTTTATATATGAAACTTTCATTTATAGCTTCATATCACTGTTAAAATTGCTAATTGTAACAGTAAGTTCTATATTAATAGTTCCTTCTCTCGCACTTCTCGCTTGTGGGACTCTCTTCCGGATTGTTGCTTTCCTGTAATATACAATGTTTAAAAAATGTTAACACAACACCAATCGTCAGCTTCTGTCTCTCTGAATCTTGTCATCGCGATTTTTCTGGCCTTTCTTAGCGTGAAAAACTCAAAAAATGTTAGACATTAAAAGTTGGAAGATTTGATTATGCATATCTTTCAAAGAAGGGTGACTTCCAGTATCTTGAAAATCAACACTGGCTTCTAAAACATGAAAATGGCATCTTTGACTCTGAATCGAAACACCGACAAGTGGCATGGAATGGGATGAAGATATGCAAATTATCTATCTATTCCACCAATCAGATGACATTGGTAATTACTGCCTTAGCTTTAACATAGCCTTTAAAGTTTGGGCAGACAACGTGGTTACAACTCACGACCGAAGCAAGATCACTCTCCTGAATTACTTCGGGAGGTGGTTAGTCAAACTCTCTGCTTCGGGCAGAGAGGAACCCAGACAAGGGCTATGACGGAGGGCAGAGTCTCATCTGGGGTTGAAGACATCTACTGACACTGTTTTTACAGGGTCTACGGAGATTTTGACCGGGTCTACGGGCTTGGATACCCCACAATAAAGTTGGCCTTGTGCGCATCCAACTGCTTAGGGCGGTAGGTGAATATCTCAGGACCGGCTTTAATAGTCTTAAGACCCGCTTTTGCTCACCTCTTTGGCAAGGCTTTCTAGAATCTGATAGGCGAGTTTAATTCATGCTGTAACCGGTATAATCAAACTCACTGTCGACGGTTCGCGAGACAAGCACGCTTCGTAGCATACGACTTCCGCCTAAGAGCAACGCTTGAAACAAACTCACTGGCAACGGATTACGAGATCGACATTCTAACGTCGTTGTTACTCTTACATCAGGTAAATATTTGTTCTTCTAAGCCAACTTTGGCACGAAGACAAATGTCTAAAATCCTCTGACAAGGATGCATTTTTTCCAAATGGGGACCAAAATCCATTTATTCATCTATCTATCTAGCTTTAGGATGGCTGGTCATATCTATATCATCTATCTATCTATCTATCTATTCATCTATCATTAGTCTGCTCTTATCTATCTATCTATGCTATGCGAGTCTTTTCCATTCTATCTATCTATCTAGGCTAGTCTGCTCATAACTTTCTATCTGTTTATCAATCGATCTAGGCTATTCATATCTATATCTATTTTCTCCTATGTATGTCTGTTAATTATCTATCTATCTATCTATCTATCTATGTCTGTTAATTATCTATCTATCTCAGGCTTTTCTATGTACTTTCATAAGCTATCACATTTATCAAACTCAGTGTGGTTGTATCTATCGCTCTGGCTTACGGTCACGTGACGTTGAAATACCTTTTGCCGTGTCAGTCTATTCATATTTATTTATATATTCATCTACCTCATTCTTCTTAATTATCTATCGATCGATCTCAATATGCATTTGATCTATCTAGCTAGCTATCTATAGCAGTTTTTTTTGGCATCTCGACTCCAGTTACTTTCTCACAGACGTCATGTGGTTTTCCTCTGTCTTTTCTACAAAATTTCATGGCAACTGCTGCGGCGAGCCTGTTGCCCCCACAGCATGAATTTAAGCGTGCTACTAGGTTGGGATTTGGGTCCTACTGCCAACCTTCAGGGCGTTTATTGGTTCGAGGTAAATCAGCATTGATTATCTCAAAGCAAGGCCACATGCGTATTTCAAACATAAGTATTTCGAATAATTATCATTCAGCGTAATTGTCCTTTTTGATTAATTTTCATTCAAACAATTTTACAATTTGAATAAATGGTTTTCGAATAATGTTCGATATCTCCTTGTTATGTGCCGAAAAAGTTCAACTGTTTCTTCCTGACGTTAGTACAAGTTTCCTTTTGCTTCCATTTTCTAAACCTTGTCGTTGCTTCCAAATATTTCAGTCCATGGTATCCTCAGCATCCTTCTGTAGAACCGTATTTTATAAATTAAGCTTCATTTTGTAAATTTCCTTTTAAATCAGATTTTTTTAAAAAGCATGTAAATTATAGTTATGTTTAAAAAAGATAGGATGGTCAGATGTTTAGGGATTTGAAAAGTATATTTATTTGATAACAAATTCAAATCCAAATGTATTATTGACTGTGTATGCTATGTTTCCTGCTTTTTTATCCTGTAGAAACAGGTTCCAAATCATGATCCTTAGGCTCTATAGGAGGTGTTGTCATTTAATTGATAGCACTTTTCTAGTATCGGATATTTAGTAAAGGCTATCCTCTGGGCAACTTGTATGTTGATGTTACTGGGACGCTGTTAGTAAATTGTCAATTTTCTTAAGAGGCCCAGAATGGAATTACTATTGGTGTTCAATCAGTCTTCATTCCCCACATCTTGTTCATCTCGATCTTCAGGACAATTTCTCGATAATTTTCCTGGGGTGTTTTCTCATATGATATTTCCTCTTTTAAATTTTACATTTTATTGCAATAAAAAATTTTTTTGAATCTCGAATAATTATTATTTAGTATAATTGTTCTTTTCATTAATTTTCATTCAAACAATTTTACAATTCGAATAAATGATTTTTTGAATAATATTAGCATAATCTCCTTGTTATAGCTCCGAAAAAGTTCAACTGTCTCTTCCGGACGTTAGTGCAGTTTCTTTTGTTTTCTATTTTTTTAAAATCTCGTTTTTCCTTCACATGTTCGGTCCATGATATCTTCAGCATCGTTCTGTAGGGCCAAATTTCCGTTGCATCAAGTCTTTTCTTCATCTTTGAGGAGACTTTTTTACTACCTCTCCTAAACCATGTTCTCCTATCCAGCTCGTTAAGAGGGGCTCATGCGCTGCTTGACTGCTTTCCTCCAGCCACAATATGTATTTAGCGAGGTATCAAATTTTCGAGCCCTCTTTCCTCATTACGTGCCCTAGAAATGTCAACTTCCTCTACTCTGTAGCTGGACTGTATGGGTCTCCCACCTCGATAGGAACTTGCATGAGTGGAAGACGCAATTGGGTGGGCTATATGGGTGTCCTCACTCAGTTGGATGGAACTGTATGGTGTCCTGACTCAGATGGCTGAATCCGTACGGAGTGTCCTAACTCAAGTGGGTGGACTGAATGGTGTCCTGACTCAGGTGGCTGGACTGTAGGAGGTCTTGGTATGGAAAGCATGAAAAACAGAATGAATGCCTCAAAATTTCAAAACCGGCAGCTCTCAACTGAATTACAAAAAACCTTCTAACTGGCATTCTTATCAAATGGCTTAAAGCAAAAGATAACAGGGGTATTCGTTATCGTACATCGATCTATTGCCATTGCACAAGATGATTTATTGTAATTGGGGGCCTCTTCGTTCCGGCTTTAACTAAATTAGTCCACTTCATCGTTTGATGTCTGACTATCTAAACATAGATATCGCTGTGACCCAGTCACTGCTGATGCCGACAACCGCCTCGGTCCTCAATTGCACCAATACTCGGCACAGTTTGACCCCTGCATAAACTGACCCCCTTTTTTTCCTTAATAGTGCCCACTGTCTCTACTGGAAAAGTTAATGGCTTCACAAGTTTTTATGGACGAC